GGTTATATAGCCTTGGATGGAAACTGGTCTCGGAGAAGGACAACTCTGAATTCAAAACCTGCGGAGGGTCGTTTGGGAACCTTGTGGCATTCGGTGCACCACGTCTCTGTATTCGTCCCTTCAAAGATCTTAGATGAGGGTGAGTGGAGTCTCTCTGAGCCTTGGTTGGCAATCCATTTAGTGATGGTGTCACGATAAAAAAACACCCTTGATAACCCTAGCGAAACATCAAGAATCCAGCTATTTGACAAGATTATGAACTACACCAATCAAAGTATTGAAGATAAGGAATACTGGAAAGGTGTAATGAGTTCAATCTCGGCTGAGGCCGCAAGATGATGATGAAATGAAATAATCTATGCGATAATGAACCGATTTCCGTTTAAGGGCGAGATTGCTTATTAGCATAACAGAACAAGAACAGCACCACGTAGCGGGATTTTTGTTAGGACAATACTATTAAATTGAAGAATAAAACAGTGATCTGATTTTGCTATGTTTTTTTTTATAACAAAAACTGAAAAGGAAATTATATCGATACTGAAATAGGGAGCAATGAAATTATTTATAATTGCTGCGTGAAAGAGAAATCGTGATATAAGTGTGTCTTAGTATATATTTATACATTTTTGTAGGTTCATTTTTGGATTGCAACAGCTGAAAAGAAAATCCCATCAACAAATAAAGGGAAAAAAAGGAACGTAAGTTAAAAGAAAAACCAATTACTATGTGCAGCATAAAATAATCATAAAATAATGAACCATTTATTCCAAGTAAAAGTATTTTTATCTCATAATTTTTATATATTAAGACCTTGAAGAAATTCTAGATATTTTCCAACAGATGGCGTGTGTGTAGTTTTGGATGGTAGCGAATCTATTAGGAAGTACTATAATCATCTACATCATATGTCATGTATATTATATTATGTCATCTATACTATATTATATCATCTCGTGTATGTCATTTCGTCGAAGGGTAAACAACTTTGTTTTTCATAGCGTTAAACATTGTCGGATTTCGTGCCAAAGAAAGTGTATTTGCGGGGGATTTTACTGCCCTACTTTGTTCAAAAGAAAGCTGCAGCTGAAGCAGGTAAAATTCTTGATGAGACTTATGGCGATCGTGCTCTATCGGAAACAACATGCAGAGATTTGTTTAGACGCTGCAAAAATAATGATTTGGATGTTGAAGATAAAAAACGCTCTGGCGCACCGTTAAAGTTTGAAGACGAAAATTGGAGGCATTACTTCATGAAGAATCATGTCAATTGGAAACTGAACTTGCAGAATCATTAGCAGTTGGTCACGCAGCAGTTTCGAAACGTTTGAAAGCATTAGGAATGATTCAAAAGCAAGGAAATTAGATGCCGTACGAGTTGAAGCCGAGAGACGTCGAACGGCGTCTTGTCACGTGTGAGCAGCTGCTTCAACGGCAGAAAAGGAAATGTTTTTTGCATCGTGTCGTGACCGGCGATGAAAAGTGGATACACTACGATAACTCTAAGCATAGAAGATCGTGGGGTAGGTCCGGCTAGGCATCAACATCGGCGGCAAAGCCGAATATCCATGGTTCGAAGCTTCTGCTCAGCATTTGGTGGGATCAGCTGGGTGTAGTTTATTATGAGCTGCTCAAACCGACTGAAACCATCACGGGAGATCGCTATTGACTGCAATTGATGCATTTGAGCCGAAGAAAAAAAAAAGGCCGCTATACGAACAAAGACACGACAAAGTGATCTTGCAACATGACAAAGCTAGACCACATGCTGCAAAATGGGTGAAAACCTACTTGGAAAGGCTTAAATGGGAAGTCCTATCCCACTCACCGTATTCACCAGACATTGCCCCGGCCGATTAACACTTGTTCCGATCGATGGCACATGACCTGGCCGAGCAGCACTTTCATTCTTATGAAGATGCCAAAAAATGGGTCGACTCGTGGTTAGTCTCAAAATACGTGTCGTTTTTCCGACTTTGAATTCAAATGCTGCCAGATAGATGGGAAAAAGTAGTGGCTAGCGATGGACAATATCTTCAGCGACATTTTTCTTACTAATTTTTGGGAATAAATCATTACTTTTCATAAAAAATCAGCGAGAACTTATTCAAAGCCTTAATAAAAAAATACACTTATTTATAAATACTTATTTATAAATACTTATTATGCTTATTTATAAAATAAACGCACCATTATGTTATCATTCCCATTATTTTCTGCTAAATTATTATTATTTGTGGGGAATTAAGGACACATGGCACAGTGGATAAAGGCGTTGGTTAGATCCAGTGACAAGGGCCCAAAGAGTTGTGAGTTCAATACTTGGTTAAGGCAGTGGAGACCTTGGAGAAGTGAATTAACAGGAGATAACTGACATCCATTAAACAGTCTACCCCAGCGAGCGAAATAAAGGGTTCAGTGCGATATTTCAACAACCCGAAGAAGGCCGGAGCGTAAAACGGCTGAGACGTTTTTATTATTCGTCATTATCATTTTATTATTTATTATTATTGTATTGAAAAATTATTTTCATTAATATTTTATTTTTTCATTATTATTTTTTATTTTATTATTTGTCTATTATTTTATTAGTATAGTATTTTTTTTTAATTATTTCTGTTATTATTATTGCTAGTAACATTTAATTATATGTGCGCGTGGCCGAGTGGTTAGAAGGTTCGCTTTTTGACCAAGAGATCCTGTTTCGAATGTTATCGAACTGGTTCGAGGTCGATCCCAGCATGCAGCACCTTAGGAAAATGCCTGAAAACCATTGACCCAAACCTTGTGAGTGAAATTAGGTAGGCGTCGAGAACTGTGCTAGCCAAGAAAAGTATAATTGCTTTTCGTTATTATTATTTTTCTTTTTGGTATTTTATTATTATTATTTATGCAAAAATAAATAGTCTTTTATTACTTGTCTATTAGTATAGTACTTTTTATTATTTCTATTATTATTGTTATTATTATTTTGAGGTTTTGAGCGTGCTGGCCTTGTTCAAATTGTTGATCACGCTAGATAAAACGCTCTCTCCAAGAAACCATAACTGAGGCCTGCTCAGCCTCGTTGCAATATAAACCACAGGAGCAAACACAAAAGTGCCTGAGCGAGCGTCTGCAAGAGGGATTGCTCTAGTAGACGGGTATCCTCGAATACGAGTGGTCGGCTATTAGTATTTTATTAACTAATTATTTGTTATCATTTATATATTATTTCTAGTTATTATTATTTTATTATTTTTATTAATTATTATAATTGTTATGAAAATTATAATTATTTTTTACTATTTTATTATTTTTAGTTATTATTAGTTTTCTTTTTGGTATTTTATTATTATTAATTATGCAAAAATAAATAGTCTTTTATTACTTGTCTATTAGTATAGTACTTTTTACTATTTCTATTATTATTGTTATTATTATTATTTGTATTAACTGATTATTTGTTCTTATTTATGCATAAATGTTTAATAATTATCGTAAAAATTTTTATTTTCTTTATTTTCGCTTACACTTTATTATGAACAATATTTGTTTTTTTCTAAATTGTAAGCATGTGTTCTCAAAAATCATTTAGCATACTCATTTTCTACTGGTTAAAATACAAATAAAGCTGATTTTAAAATTTTTATGGAGTAACACTTTGTGTAATCATAGAGTAATCTCACCTTATTTATTTGCAACTAATTATAATATATGTTCTATAAATAGCAAATGTTTTGAAATTGTACTTAAGGTCATCGTCGGAGGCCTTTAATTCAATCTAATAATGTAATATCCTTTTGCATAGGCTATTCTCATCCTAGATGTTAGTCATTTCAGATTAAAATAACTGATCGAATACATGATAAGAAAGTGGATATAAGCGTATGCATACTTTTTATAGAGCTATGATAATTATTCTATCTGTTACCTATTTGATACAGATGACATAATATAATATAATATAGATGTCATGATATAATATGATATAGATGACATAATATAATATAGATGACATGATATGCTGTAGATGACTTAACATAATGATATATATAACATAATACAGATGATATAATATAGTATAGATGAAATAATATAATATAATATAGATGTCATGATATAATATGATATAGATGACATAATATAATATGGATGACATGATATGATGTACATGACATAACATATTTATATAGATAACATAATACAGATATAATATAGTATAGATGACATAATATAATATAATATAGATATCATGATATAATATGATATAGATGACATATTGATATAGATGACATAATTATAGATGACATAACATATTGATATAGATGACATAATATAGATGATATAATATAATATAGATGCATAATATAATATAATATAGATTACATAATATATGATTTAGATGAAAATAAGTATTATTTTATTTATGGATTATTTAATATTGTTTTTAAAAGGTTTCCAGATTCTTTTGTAGTCATTTAAATTTTTGTCACGTATTATTATTCACGGACACATATGATGTTATTCTGTATTACAAGCACACAGGTTTCAACTTTAACAGCGCCATCTTAAAAACTGGATATCGACTGAAAGATCAAAACGGAATCTAACGTTGGACAAAGCAGCGAGAAGAAATGAATAAATATTCAAAAATAAGTCTCATGCAAAAACATAAGTGATTTTTTTTTCATTCTTTCAGTCGTGTCTAAGACTAATTGAGGTGAAATGTTCGAATTCCAATAAAATTATAAAATGAACTCACTGTTTGTTGCATACAATCCCACGCATGCGTCTCACGGTCGTCTTCTCCATAAGATTGGTTCAAGGACATGTATAAGTGATGTCGGAAATAGTTTGTGATCTGGAAATAAATAACAAGGTGAAGTTGTTAGTTTTAAATGAATAAATAGAGGGCAAAATAAATAAACGAAAGTTCAAATGCGCATTTAATTCAAGAAATTGCAGTCACACAAAAATCATTCCCTTCTGTTATTGTGTACACAAATAAGCAGGGCTTACGGACACATCAAATTGAAACACCGGTTCACGTATGATCATTGAAGTTAAACAACGTCGAGCCTGGTCAGTTCCTAGATGGGTGACCATTTGGGATTACCAGGTGCTGTAAGCTTGGGTATGCGGGTGGTGTAATGGAGAGCGGAGCTCCAATTCCCATTGGATTTGTCATATACACTTATGCGCAAATACCCTTGGGAAAGGTATGAATCCATCTCTTCTCCTCCCAGCTATGGGTTAATTAGTAAGACTTGTATCGCTAAAACATTATTATCTCAAACAGGACAAAATGGTACATTCTAAAAAAATATTATCTGACTTTAAATAACCTGAAAAGGGTTGATAAGCCTTAAAAACGAATCAGTCAATCAATCAGGTATTCGCTTTCATAAATTAAAATCTTCTAGACTTTCTAGCCGCTGAATTTATTGGGACCGAAATTAAATTTAGAATTTGTAGAAAGAATCCAAACAAATCAAGTTACTTTAACGTATTTAATATTCATAATTGCCGCCATGTCTCTGATCGAAAACCAAAATTTTAACTTTGGAAACAATAACTTGCTTTCGTCTTTTGGATAAATAAGATTTCTGTTTTAGTCATTTTAGACAAAATCATATTCATTCGAAACTATTTGAGGAAATTTTGCGTAATCATACACGCCATGTTTAAAAATCAGGAAATCCTGTCAAATTTGATGTTTTTGATCCTGATGTTCCTCATTCAAAAATATGTTGTTAGTCACCGTATTGCCTCATGACTGAGTTGTATATTTGGTCAGATAGAAGCAATGATCTTGAATGTTGATTTTCAAGTAGACCTTCTCTAATTCGGAAATATATCCAGCAAAATCTTCTTAACCCTCAAATACATTGATGCAGCCATTGCTAGTTTAACTGAAGCATAGTAAATATCAGTAACCAATTTTTCTATATTTCTGAATTTTTCCAACAGTCTTTCCTTATTATTCACTAGTTCTCTCAAGTCGCTAAGACGCAAGATTCTGTTGCGAAATACGTCCAGTTTATAGGGTTCAGTCGCAGGATTGCACAACGAACCGATTGTTCGCTCCGTTTTGAGTTCAAGCGCATACTATCTTGTTCCGTTGGGAACTTCGATGTGGTATAATGGTTAACAAGTTTATCTCGCTAGAAAAAATTACGACTGAGTAATGAGTACAGTCCTCACTGTGTGTTCTACACCTCCGGCCTTGTGCCACATCCACGCTTATTATCAGTTTCCCCGACTGAGCTTACAATTGAACTGTCACGAACCGGAACTTGAATAGACTACAACGAAAACGACGATAACAGTGAGCGTGCAAATAACTCTTCGTTCCAGAAATTCAGACAGTAATTATGTCTTACAATAAATGTTTAGTCCTTTCAAAGCTAAGTGACGGGACAAGTAAATAATTGAGAGTAACTCTTTACCACAGATCAAATTAAGGGTTCAATTCAGCATTAACGGGAGGTTAACAAATTTGAAAACATAGTGTTAAAAATGAAGAAGACGAGGATCTGGTCCGAACGTATCAGTGTATAATGGAAATTTTAATTATAGCGTTCATTTTCGCTGACGCTATGTGGGTATCTTGGCAAGCATGCATTTCACAAAGAATAATTAAGTTACACCGCAAGAATTTAATTAAGCTGACCAAAGTTAATCACATTTGTGGACGCTAACGCATGCGCAAACACAATCGTGGACTTAGACTTGCACATAGTATACTAAAAATAATCAAATTTATATAATTTCTGATTTTTGTCCTTTGAATAGAAGTATGTTCTTTGTGACAACTTCCAATCTATCTATCTATCTATCTATCTATCTATCTATCTATCTATCTATCTATCTATCTATCTATCTAATTCTGTTCGTATCTATCTATCTATCTATCTATCTATCTATCTATCTATCTATCTATCTATCTAATTCTGTACGTATCTATCTATCTAATTCTGTTCATATCTATCTATCTATCTATCTATCTATCTATCTATCTATCTATCTAATTCTGTTCGTATCTATCTATCTATCTAATCATGTTCGTATCTATCTATCTATCTATCTATCTATCTATCTATCTATCTATCTATCTATCTATCCTGTTCGTATCTATCTATCTATCTATCTATCTATCTATCTATCTATCTATCTATCTAATTCTGTTCGTATCTATCTATCTATCTATCTATCTATCTATCTATCTATTTATCGAATTCTGTTCATATCTATCTATCTATCTATCTATCTATCTATCTATCTATCTATCTACTTCTGTTCGTATCTATCTATCTATCTATCTATCTATCTATCTATCTATCTATCTGTTCACAACTGTTTTATTCTGTCCATATGTATCTATCTTTTTATAAAATAAATCCACCCCAAGCAAGGCACCGAATATTAATTTTATGATATAATGACGTTTGTTGGGGTGCACTTTGAAGTGGTGTAATGTTAAACAAGCTTATCTCGCTAGATCAATTACAACTGAGTAGTGAGTTCGATCCTAACTGGATGCTTCATGCTTTCGGTCTTGTGTTACGTATAGTATTAACCTTTGGTGGATCATTTAATAACTTATTTTGTATTGGACACCGAATGAGGATCGAACTCACTACTCGGAATTAATGGTCAAGTAAACTAATCTCGTTAAACAGGCGCCTAAAAGAGTCCGTGTAATAAAATATACATATGCGTGACGGATCCTAGATTTGTCATAAAGACCTACGTGGCTGAAGTGTAAATGATGTCCTGCCTGAACCTTTTTTTTCTTATTTAAAAGGAATTATGGTTCGATCCCTGCTGAAAAGAAATACGTATGGTGATTTTAAAGCTTAGCTTATAAGTGGCTCAACGCCAAACGTATGGGGCACCCAGTGAGGATCGATCTCAATACTCAGTCATAATTGATCTAGCAAGACAAACTTTCTAACCATTACTCCACGTGGAGGTGCCCAAAGATTTTCCAAGCGTAGCTTAGATGTGGCACAAGGCCGAAGGTATGGGGCACTCATTGAGGATCGAATTCGCTACTCAGTCGTAATTGTTCTAGACAAGCTTTCTAACCATTACACCGCCTCGAGGTGCCCTAATGATTTTTTAAGCGCCGCTTAGATGTAACACAAGGCCGAAAGTAAGAGGTATCCAGTGAGGATCGAACTCACTACTCAGTCGTAATTGATCTAGAAAGTCGATTTACTAACCATTACACTACGTCGAGGCGCTACTTCATTTTCCAAGCTTAGCTCAGGATCGAACTCACTACCCAGTCGTAATTGTTCTAGCAAGACAAACCCACAAACCATTACACCAGGTCAAGGTACCCCCAAAGAAATACATATGTACGTAATGTGTACACGTGAGTTTGTTTTGTGATATCAACATACACTCGTTGCCGCTTTTGTGATGTCAATGAATACTCCTTGTCACTTTTGTAATGCTCGTTGTAGTAGAGACTTTGTAGTCGCAGATACAACTATAGTAACGCCGTTGAACAATACTGGTGTCAGATGCCTTCGAATAACACTCGGACTAATAGTTCTTGCTCGATAATACTCGCTCGAATAGTAATCCATATAGAGAAATAGTATAGTGAATAGAGTAGAGAATAGCGGTCCATATATTAATAGGAGATAGAGTAGAAATAACGATCCGAATCTTTTTGACTTGTATCGGTTTTCACCCTGGTCGGGTTGAACCGGCCTCCTCCCGAGCAAGTACAGCATCACGGACCATCGCTGCCCACGCTCACCGATCCTGAGCCAGGTCACACGAAACTTCTGGACCCTATAATACTGCTAGGTCATCCTTGATTGTGCTAGCCCACGTCCTCAGCTGCCCACCGACACGTTTTCGCCAGCCAAGAAGAGAAGTAGGGAGAAGTACATCGCTGATGAGCTCTCCCTCCGGGCGTCGAGCTGCTTGCCCGAACCATCGGAGACGACGCTGGAAGAGGACGGGTGGAAGAGGACGGAGACTCAGGCGATCCGAATAGTAATAAAGGATAGACTAGAAATAGCGATCGTTAGTCGTCAGCTACTTCCTACATAGATGTGTTTCTTCTATGGTCACGTGATCCACTTAATTCAATAATGGGATCGCTTGTGTTTGCTCACCGGCGATCTATGTTCAGACTCAAATGTCGGCAGCGACACTTTATTCCTATATAACAGTAAGCTTCAGTAATCCGTACTGGTAGCAGTTTTGCCCCTTTTATATCATTTTGGTTTGTTTTGTTTGTTTACTGGTTTCAAATATGATTCAGAATTTGTATCTGGCAGTGATTCTAACTTGTTTGCTTCTCTAACGTTTTCCTCGGTACTAATTTGGTTTCATTCTGGTATTTTGTCTTCCAGGCAAATCAATAATATTTCAGTTGCATGCTAACCGCATACATCCTTTATTGTTCTCAGTTTCAACTAATTTTATGTGTTTGACGTTTTATTGCAGCTCAAACTATTGGTGCTTTTCAGCTCCAAGTCATTTACCTTTGTTGTTATCATACAGCTGTTCTTTTTAATCTTCTGTAAAATTCCGGTGGGGAAAAAAACGAGGCCTTTCTTTTCAGATCAACAGACTGTTGGTTGGAAGTTGCACAGGAATTATTGTCTAGTGGGAGTTCCAGGGAAGCCCCAAATCCATCTTTAGTTATATTTCCAATTTGCCTGAGATTTTCGCATGTCATAGTCTTAGATGAAATATTATCATTCTTAATTTCTGAATAGTTTACCCTTCATCGTGCGACTGTTGATTTTTGTCACATGTGAAAGAAAGACGAGTAAAATAACAAGAAAAAAATGGTGGTATAACTTTCCTCTTCTCTAATTAGTACATGCCACGCATTACTGGTCATGTGATTATTAACAGCCAATCAGTGAGGCCTGGACAGCGAAGAATTTGGGGTTAGAAACCGTGTAGACGACATGCTTCCCGGACACGTGGGAAAAGCACGACTTGTGACGAAATATGCATTTTTGCATTGCATCGTATTTGTATAACTTTATATTGATTCATTTTTTACGGCTTACCAACCCTTTTTTTCAGGTTATTTAAAGCCAGAAAATATTGAGCGATAATAATGATTTCGTGATAAAAGTCTAAATAA